CCAGATTGGCCTCTATGTCCTAAAAATTCCACCTCTCATCCCTTTTTTGAACTGAAGGCTTTTTCGGCATCCTTTGTCTATATTCCAGTTAATTTTTTTTAATATATTTCTGTATGTGTATAGAAATACGTGTATATATGTTTTATGTGTGTATGTGTATATGTTTGAACCTACCTAATGCCTCACATCCTTTCCAGTCTATTACTCAGAATGGTTCAAGTTAGGTTTTTCCAGCATGCGTGTATTTCTAGCCATGAGGTATTGATTTAATCCTTTTTTCAAGTGAGTAATTGCATTAAGTTTATCTTTGGAGGAAGGCATCATTTTTCATTTGCTCATCTTCCTAGAGTAACTTGCCTCAATTCGTCTTTCCTAATCTGAATTAAATTACTGCCGAGTGAAACCATAATAAAAAACTCTACACTGGCATTTTCACCCCCTTTTACCTTAGCAGAACAGATGCAAGATAAGCAAGAATTAAAGGTATCCTGCTGCTTTTCTAGTTTCAGCTTTCTAAGCCCCTGCTGTTGGAAGCTTCTGGTTGCTACTGCAGCAAAGAAACCCCAAAGCGGTCAAGTGCTGAGATGGCTAAAGATAGTTGGGCCTGTCCTGCAAGAGGTTGATCGCTCTGGCCCTGCTCCAGTAAAGGCAGCAAAGCTTTCGTTGCAGCATGCGCATAAGTGCGTTGCTGGTTTGGAGCCAAAATGCCTTGGCCCCACAGGATGAAGCTGTAAAATTCACAGATTCATGGAGAGTCAGGCCAGAGGGAAGCTCTGTAATCATCTGTTGTGACCTGTAACGGGTCTCACAGAAGCTAAATGAAAGCCCCCTGTACCTTCACGTGTTTTCAAATGGCAGCGCATGACTTCTCCTGGAAAACATTCCAGTATTTATCATCACTGCTAGGAAAATATTTCATATTTTGGAGGCCGGTTTGTCTAGCAGCATCTTCCAGCCGTCACACCTCGTTCTGCTTTTCCCTGTGAAACTGGAAAGTGCTCTGCTTTCAACTGTTAGGTCTCTCTTACATGCTTCAAGTGTCTGAGCACAGTGATTGGAGTTGCATCTCTGTCTTTCCTTCAGGTTAGGTTTACCGCTTTCCACCTCACATGATAAAAATCTCTCTCCTCGTGTTTAAATTTGCAGCTTGCTATTTGTGGTAGTTGAACTCACCAGGATTTCCGCATTCTTGTATTTGAGGGATATTACAGCCTGATGCTTTTTGTGTATTAGTCTCAGAGAAGCATGAAAAATGTGTGTATGCCACAGCTGCGTGTTACCTGTAGAATAGATACAGTTATTTCTTGAAAGATAATTAAATTTACAGGTTCAGATGCCATTTTGCATCATCCTGTTCTTTTTGAGTGCACTGCCATTGCAGATGTATAGTTCAGCAGTCTCTAATGGCATGCCTGCTTTGAAGAAGGGCAGAAGCCTGCTTTTATTTCATGTTCCTGAAAGACATGGCTTGCAGAAATGCCCACGTAGAGATTGATGGATAGAAATTTGCTCACTGGAGAGTAGGCAGTGTAGCACATCATGCAACACTTGGCACTAAATAGTAAGTGGAAAGTATTGTGGAAGTTTTCACAGTCTTCTGTCAATGGTGGTTGCCTTAGATTATGTAAATATTATTTCCTACCTCCTGATGGTAAAAATTTACATGGATTCAAACACAACAAAAAGTTGAAAGGTGACAGGGGAAAGGAAGACACTTGATAAGAAGCAGATGCGTATCTATGGTTAGCTCCAAGGTGAGTTTTTTGCTTTCAGCTTACGGTTACCGTTATCCATGGACGCCGCAGAAAGATCCCTGTCTTTTATCATACAGGGAAGAGCTTCATGTGCAGTTCCTGGTATTGTTTATCTGACCTTCGAGAATGAGGAGGGAGGAAGAAGCAGCATTTAGAGCAGTGCCCAGTGAACTGATTCATGCTCCATTCAGTTACCCAGACAGGCCTTTCAAACACTTGGCTGCATTTTGCTTATGTAAACAAGAGCTACAACTTAGGTGGAAAGAAGCAGTGTGGTTGACATTTTGACGGTCATACTTTTAAAACCCTCCTTGGCTAAGATCAGTAGGGAATCCAGAAGAGCAGTATAATTCAGTGCAAAAGTAACTAGATTTTGTTCTTTGAAATCCACATAATGTATATATTTCTGATTGTACAGCAGAAGAAAAGGCTTACTTGACTGTTTCTCAGTTTCTAAATTCAGCCGCAGCCTTTTGCCAATTTCTTGCAATACTGTTGTTCTCTCATTTCTCTGGATCCCCTGTGGAGAGCCATGCTTCTGAAGCGCATATTGCAGCCATGGGAATCCTGCTGA